ATCTGATAGGAGGAATCTGAAATATTACTACCGAAACCGGAAATTCTATGTGACCCGTATAAAAGACTCAAGATTTATAAAAGACGGCATCGTCGGCATCGATTTGCTTTTTTGTTTTTATGTCTCAAATATCAAACGCAAATGACTTTCATCGCGAGAACGAAATGAATCAGGCTGTCTGAATCGCTCCTGGTAATGCGTTATGCATGGATTAATTTGTTTCAGCCGAAGAGCTGATAGACAGACAGATAGACAGATTCTTAATTATTCTTATTTAAAACGTATATATATTAAATTATAATACCTCTTTACTAATAAGCAAATTTAATAATCTTAATGTGTGTTTAATATGAATGCAACATCAGCATAGTTGGAACAACTATTTATCTAATTTATCTTGTTTACACCTTTACCAAGATAAAGACTTAGATAGTTCTTTTCACCCCACCCACATGTATGCTTTTATAGTGGTTACATAATAAAACTGTTGAATCTAACCTAAACATAACAATACAGCTTATAAAAGAATCAAATAACTTAAAAATTATATTAAGGTCTCATAAACTGAACAAAAGTGCTCACAACCAAAAAATGATTCGAGATATTGGTGGTGCTCCTTTTTACTCGCGGTCCTTCAAGCCCTTTTACCCCGCTCTACACTATTGATTTAAGCATATCTATTGAGAGTATTCAATTAAATTATATCGTCAAACGGAGAGATATACGAGGTCTGTTCAAAAAGTACCCGGAATTTTCGTTTTTTCAAAAAAATATTTATTTATTCGTCTACATTAATGTGGTCCCCTTCAAAGTAGTCCCCCCCAGATATAATACACTTATGCCAGCGTTTTTTCCAATTTTCGAAGCACCCTTGATATTCACTTTTTGATATGTCCTTGAGCACTCTCAGCGATTTTCTTCAATCGAGGAAAACCGCCGTCCTTTCATGGGTCTCTTCAACTTTGGGAATAGGAAAAAGTCACACGGAGCCATATCTGGTGAATTTTTGCACTTTGCAACACTTCATTTCATTTTTTACGCAAAATTTAATACAAATTCTTTGACTTTTCAATTCTTCCATTGTAAAAATCGCCGAGCTCAGAAAAACACGTCGAACCTTAGCGACTACCACAGACAAAGTAAACAGTGAATATAGCTGAAAATTTCATCATACTTTAGGGGCATGTATACCAACACAATAAAAAAAAAATTTTGACAATCAGACACTCCAGACCCGCGAAATTTAATTATTAGTAATTCCGGGTACTTTTTGAACACACCTCGTATATGGATAATTTATAATGCAAATCATATTGTTTGTCGGTATCACATTTCCTTATTATGATGTCTCTATTATCGCCTCAAAGCCATAACTCTATTTTAATAAGTGACAGGGCATTCGAGCGCAGAATATGTGCATTTTATGTTATAATTGTTGTTTTGCAATTGTTAAGTCCATAAAACAAGGAAATGTATATAGTAACAAAATATTTGAACTATCTACTGCACTACTTTGATCCTTTCACTAAATTATAATCGCAGAATTAACGAAGCGTGCCAAACATAATGATAGGTATGAAAAGCTTAGTTTTGATTTTATTTGCATTTGAAATTATTGCATAATGTTGTACGTCCAGTTGTTGATAAAATATTATTAATTGATGTTGTTGCCACTAATTCCTATAAAAAAATAAGATTAAATATGTGTCTACTACATTAGCCAACATAAATATCATGGTCTTCTAAAACATTGTTTCAAGAGAAAGAGATATTTAAGAAAGTATGTATTTAAATTTCTATTTTTTATGCTATTTGTCATAGGTCAGTTTTGTGTGTACCTAACATTTAAACCACTCATCATTTTAACTACTCATTATCTGTAATTTTATAACCGTTTGCATGTTAGTAATTAATTTGTATGCTTTTGATGAATGATCTAAGAAGAAGGAAGTGGATCTTTAAACGATTTGACCCTAATGTCAAGAGTTGATTAGAATCATGATCTTCTATTGTAAATTGTTTTAAAGTCTAGTCTTGGGATAGCTTACTAGTTGAAAAGCTTTTATTTGTTTGGGATTCTCATTTTTGATAGCTAGAAGAATTTTGTCATTCATTTCAAAACAGCCCAATAATTGGAGTTCTAATCCAGTCATTATAGTAAGTTCATCTCGAAATTCGAGATATCCAGCAATAAATGTGGAAACCCTATAGTTGTCTCAAAACCTACATATGGTATTGACACCCTGTCATATGTGGGTATCTCGAATTCCGAGATTTTTACCTAATTTAAGCTTAAATGACTGGACTATACGGTTGTCTGAATGAACGCAATAATGAAAACTTGTTCAAACAAACATACTACATTTTTCCGTCTTGAAACTTATCTCACATGATGACTGTCACTACCGTATATGATACAACTATATTTAGAAGATCTATATTTTTAAGGAAAAATGAATATCACTACTGCTTGATATCTGTTTTTTTAAAACACAATTATTTGTAGTACTTATAAATTATATGTGAGAATTCCATAGACCTTATGTATGAGGTTCATAAAATTTTTTCAAAAAACGATGACGTTTATTTGTTTGATTTACGAGTATTAAACATGTCCAAGAATTTACAACATTTATCAAAAGTTATCATCATATTACAAAAGTTATCTTTATATGTTGTAATTGAATATATCAGCTTTATTTCCATATCAAATTTCTGGTTCACATATTTATATTTACTATGCAAAAGTTTATTGCTGTGTATTATTATCGAACTTGTATATTTTCGCAAAACAAATTTGAATTACAAAACATTAAACAATTTTAATCTGGTGTATTTGTTTCAAATATTACTAACACAAATTCTGAGAAAATATCAACATTCGCATTTTAATTATTGGTATTGTTTATTTTCCTTCTTAATCATTACTTATAATGTTTATGATTAAATTGAGTCATGCAGGCTCCATTCAATTAGTTTAATTAAACATTTGTTATTTGTTTATATTTGAAATTAGTCATGTATAAGTTGATTACTTAAGTCTGTAATAATTTATACATTCATAATTCTAGTTCTTTTTTTACTTGTTTACTTGAAGTAATATAGCACATTGCATTAGTCAAAAAAGCTAAGTTTTGCTATAACAATATTAACCAAATAATAAAATTTACAAGAATTAATTTATATGTGTTTGAGCGAGTTTTAACAGTCCGCGGGTAAAGTGGTCTACCACCGATATCTCAAAAGCAAGTAAAGTTTTACCCTATAAAGTTTTACCCTAACAAAGAAATGCCTTGGCTGATCGTGGTGCAAAACTGACAAACGGCAATCCCTATCGCGTTACATCGAATGACTTACAAATTTTGAAATTGACAAAAGGTGAAAAATCTGCTTTTCCCAAATTTGGTCTCATTCAATTCAGAATGACCTAAAACGTCGAGAAATCATAAAATTAGCAATTCGGATTTTATGGCAAAAACAAACATCTCCTTCAAGAAGTTAATTAGCTAAAGTACTCATTGTTAAAATACATATATAATTATAAAACGCGTAGTCAACTAGTAAACTAGAAAATAAGACAAATAGTATTTAAAATTTAATTACATGGCAACAAAACAATATTAAATTGTCTTTTACGGTTTACACTTAATAACTTAATCTAACCTGTCGAAGTTTTTGCCTCAATCATTAAATGACGTTAAGATGAATTATGTTCTAATTATATAAGATTACATAGGAAATACCAAAATCAAAAAACTTGGTATCAACACTTTCTACTGGTGTGGATTTGAACGGCAATATTTCAAACGAACGATGGATCAAAGGTCTTGATATAGAAAGCAATCTGGTATCAGATAATTTAATAATAAATGCCTTTATAAATAAATGATAGTTCACAGAAACGAAATTACATGAGTAACTAGTATGGGTGCTCTTAGAGTTAAATCCTAAAAATTGCTGCTTGTTTTCTAGCTGCAATTAGAAATTTGATATTCTATAAGCTGGTGTATGATGGTTCATCTTTTACTAAGAGCTAATAGAAGACAATCCTATTCTTTTTTACCTATAATTTTTATTATATGGCAATCCAATCAAATATATTTCCAAATTGTAGTGATATTTGAATTTTAACAATTGGAACTTAATAAATGCAAGGCCGAGGCTCTACACGTAAGCACCAACTTAAAAACTTTAAAAAATCTAAACAAATTATAAAATATGTGTAGATCAAGGATTCTAAAACAATTATATTTCATTACTAAATCAAATGAAACACTTCTCTCATAGAGTGAACTCTAAATTATTATTTTTTTCTATTCTAATTTTTTTCTCTCTTTCATGTAACAATAACTTGTGAAATTTCATTGTATCCTGATTACTATTTTCGAGAAAAAAATACGTCTTTTGCTTCTGAAATATATTATGCAGGTATTCCAAAAATGGACATAGCTCGAGTGAGCCAGAAATTCGATCCAGAAATTCTTCTTGTAAATTTTCCTACTGTAACAACAAATACATTGTAACTTACAATTTATAAGTGGCTATGTTAATAAAAATAATTACAGGAAATTATAGCAAAATCCGTTATATTTTTTCCCAGCAATGGCATAGTTTTTCATGTTTTACTAATATTCAAAGTATATGCAGCTTCCTCTGCTAATAACATAAATGCAAAAAATAGGATGCAACTATTTCATAGAAGGTAATTTTAAGTAAATAACAAAAGAAAATGTGAATTTATGGAGGCAGGTTAATTTGCAAAAAAGGATAAAAAGATTAATGATGTAAGAATACATTTTTGTTGTTTTGTCGGTTTGTTCAGTAATGGATTTTGGAAACTCTCGGGATAATACTCATACTCAAGAAATAATAATATTGTAGAGTTGCGCATAGATCCAATTTGATTTTCTAATGACATCTTTGCAAATTCATATTGATTTAAAAATATTAAGCACATTGATCTAAATCTAAGTTCTAAAAATAAAATAATTATCACTTACATCTTCGATAATGTGGTCCAAATTCAGGATATCATTCGTAAAACACTGCTGCTGCCACCTGGCGCAGGCATCATGGTAAGTAAAAGTATGAGGTTCCTCATCGTCGTCCATTCCTGCTCCTAAGCCTTTTGCAGGAGGCCACTGAACTGTGGCATTTTGTATGAGATCGTCCAGCAATCGCAATTCGTGCCACACTTCTGCCCGGAGCAGGTTGTCTCCATCTTTTGGAACCACTATTACTCTTCCAAAACGACCTGGGGTTAGAAAAAAAAATAAAATTAGTTTTAATTAGAATGCTTTTGGAAGTAAGTTTTGATCTACGTTTTTAAGTAAATCTATTTCTATGCTCTTCAGTATGTTTAGATCTGCGATTTTTAGTAAAATTAGATCTACCTTGTTGGCAAGTCTAGACCTGCGCTCCCTGGTAAGTCTAGATCTACGCTCCCTGGTAAGTCTAGATCTACGCTTTTCAATAAGTCTAGAATTAAGCTCTTTGATAATTCTAGATCTACCCTCTCTGATAAGTCTAGATTTACCTTATGTATTAAGTCTAGTACTGAATCTTCGGTTTTTAAAGTCCAGATCTACAATATTTATTAAATTTAGAGCAGTGGTCAGGAAACCGGGTTAAATTACCCCAAATAGGGTAGAAATAAAATTTTTATGGTAATACTTTTCACCCTATTATTTAGTATTTTTAATTGATATTCACTGTATTTGCTACGTAGTTGTCCACTGGGGGGGGCATTACTATTTGCCATGGGGGTAATATCAAATTAGACAAAAAAAATTTTAGAGTTATGATTAAAATGATACTGTTTTTGGAATTGGTACTGTTCGCCAAAATTACAGAAAAAATGTCGATCACACTTTTAATTTTTAAGTATATTTTATAATTTTTGAATTACACGATTCCGATTTTTGCAAAAATATCTTCATCATCAAATGAATAACATCGTAAATAGCCTTACTACAGAAATGTATATCTTATATATAAAAATGGAGCTCTCTTTCAAATGTCTAAGTAAAACTAGAAAACGGCTAAACTGATTTGGCCAGTCTTAGACATGAATAATTCGTGCCAATCCAGAGAAAGTCCAAAAGGTGAGATATTATTCTAAAATCGCGTAGAAATTTTACATTTTTAATTTGAAAATTTTTGTAGAAGCGTAATTTGAATAAAACAATAGACGGTGGCTATTACGTGAAATGTCAAACTTTCTTGACCGATGGTGTTCAATTACTTTTAATAGGAAGTTTTACGTGAATATTTACGACAATATAAGTCGAAAGACCAAAAAAACTTGGATTGGATTATACCATGTTTTCTATAGAAAGTATATAAAACTTCCAGTTTGATTGTACTGACAAAATATCGGTAATCTTTGAAAATCCATAATAAAAGTATTTTCTTCCGTTGGTAGTTTTTTAGCATTAGTTAATGTAATTATTTTGTAAAATACCTTTAAATTAAAATAAGGTTTTAAACGTGTTTGCCACCTGGCCGTTCCAAGTTACCCCGCCTATAGGGTAAAGAGGTGTAGATAACGAATTTTTGAAAGACATAAAAAAATACATTTCTACAATAATGAAGTAGCTGGCAATTTTACCGAACGTAGTCAGATAATTGTTTGTTAATTCATCGAATGTTACTTGAAACTTCGTAACTTAAAAATTTCAAGAAAATAAAATTTGAAAAAAATTATTTTTTCCAAAAGCAATTATTTTGTTAAGACAAGCAGAAAGTTCGTTGAATCATTCAAATCGGACACTTAGTTCTCTCAAAAACTGCCATTTTTTGTACATTTAGCTCTATCGGAATATCGGAATGTCGGAGTATTGGAATGTCGAAATATCGAAATATCGGAATATCTGAATATCGAAATATCGAAATATCTGAATATCTGAATATCTGAATATCTGAATATCTGAATATTGAATATTTGAATATCTGAATATTTGAATATCTGAATATCTGAATATCTGAATATCTGAATATCTGAATATCTGAATATCTGAATATCTGAATATCTGAATATCTGAATATCTGAATATCTGAATATCTGAATATCTGAATATCTGAATATCTGAATATCTGAATATCTGAATATCTGAATATCGGAATATCGGAATATCGGAATATCGGAATATCGGAATATCGGAATATCGGAATATCGGAATATCTGAATATCTGAATATCTGAATATCTGAATATCTGAATATCTGAATATCTGAATATCTGAATATCTGAATATCTGAATATCTGAATATCTGAATATCTGAATATCTGAATATCTGAATATCTGAATATCTGAATATCTGAATATCTGAATATCTGAATATCGGAATATCGGAATATCTGAATATCTGAATATCGGAATATCTGAATATCTGAATATCTGAATATCTGAATATCTGAATATCTGAATATCTGAATATCTGAATATCTGAATATCTGAATATCTGAATATCTGAATATCTGAATATCTGAATATCTGAATATCTGAATATCTGAATATCTGAATATCTGAATATCTGAATATCTGAATATCTGAATATCTGAATATCTGAATATCTGAATATCTGAATATCTGAATATCTGAATATCTGAATATCTGAATATCTGAATATGTGAATATCCGAATATCTGAATATCTGAATATCTGAATATCCGAATATCTGAATATCTGAACATCTGAATATCTGAATATCTGAACATCTGAATATCTGAGTATCTGAGTATCTGAATATCTGAATATCTGAATATCTGAATATCTGAATATCTGAATATCTGAATATCTGAATATCTAAAAATCTGAAAATCTGAATATCCAAATGTCGGAATATCTGAATATCTGAATATCTGAAGATCTGAAGATCTGAATATCTGAATATCCGAATCTCGGAATATCGGAATGTCGGAATATCTCTAGAAATTGATTAGAATATACATTTACTTAGCCAAACAACGTTTGCCGGGTCAGCTAGTATTTAATATAAATTATGTAAATAATTAAGCATAGATAAATAAGTATAAAGAAATTAAGTAAATATTATGGATAATTTCAAGTAACATAATGATAATTAACTTATCTATAACGAACTTCAGGAAGCAAGTTTATGACACTGAGCAATAAATTATCACACCAGACGTTTGTAGATTAATATTATTGCACTTTAGATATTTTGTGTAATTTATTATATAAAGGATTTCGTTGAAGTAACTTGGTAAAGCAAATATAATATTTCATCATCATAATAATTTATATGGTATCTTTTCGAATATCCCTTAAGTGAGCGTCCCTTAATCACGTGATCGATTTTTTTAGAGATTTTTGGATCCACCTCCCCCTGGGCGACACGTCGTGATATTTAAAATTAACACCCCCCCTCCCCCACCAAACATCACGTGTATTTTTAGTTACGTACAATTTTTCGAACAAATTTTTCGAATTTACGAAAAAATCGTTAAATTTTTGATTATTTTTTAAATTCAGATAAAAAATACACGTAATATTTTACTAGGCCTCTTTCTCCCCCGTGTGAATTTTCGTGACTTTTTGTCAACGCCCCCCCCCCCCCTTCCCCTAAAAGCCTCACGTGATTAATGGACGCCCCCTAAATATGACGATCATGTAAGAAGTAAGCTATCAATAATATTTGAAGATGTCACATAGAAAATTTGAGTAAATATTTTGGTTGGAGCTATTTGGTTAAATTTATTTTTAGAATTGTTATAAATATTGCTATGATAAACAAAATTTTAAAAGAACTGTTAAACAAAAGTATTATATTTGGAAATATGAGCATTTCGTAGCTATGTTTAAAAAAAAATGTTTATGCTTTTCTATCTAACATTCAAATTTAAAATGAATGTTGTAAATAAATGTTCGAACTCATAACCCCGTCAACATGTATCCGTGAGCTTAACTATCAGACCATATTTCGGTATAGTACTCAATGTATCTATGTTCTTAATTGCAACTATATAGATCAGAATTGGCAATATATAGATTTCATTACCATTGTAACCAAGAGAGCAAATAAAACAAATAAATAACCAAACATGAACTTGATTTTCATTTGATCTTCGTACAATAATTACCGACCTCTATTTCCATTCAAATTCATATTCAACATAAAACAAATATATAATCAACACCATATCGCCAAAGAATCAAAGAAAATCGTTCCATGTATAATTAGATCCCGATGACATGCGCGAATTGTGGACAATAGAAAATTATACGCTGAATTAGCTTCGTGACATCCATATAGTGTTTTACCGATATTTATAATGATAAACTACAATGACGAATGATTATTATTATTCGTGACAATTATTTTTGCGATGTTTTGCAAAAATTTAATCGGGAGTTTTTAGTTATTAAACCGGAAGAATCATAATACGATGAGGTTAATGGGAGGTAAGAGTGAGAGTTGGTACAAAATTGGTTAAATAGGAAATTTTGCTACTAAATAAAACCTGTGTAAAAAAAATTAAATTAGTTGGTATTGGTATTTTGCCTTAATGCAAATTACATGAACTTGCCGATATGTGTAAATAATCGACTTAATCAATATAAAATAAATTATTTTTTATGAATGATTAAAAGTATGCCGTACACATAATTGAAAACGAACGAACACCTCAACTCGGAGTATTTTCTAAAAGCAAATTTCCAAAAATCAATCATTTTTTTAATCGAATCAGTTTTCGTAGGACTTTAATGGTTTAGTATGTTCATTAAAACTAAGTACTCTATCGTTATACCAAGGAAATCGTCTAATTTTAATTTTACTAAACGTCTTTAAAAAACTACTCATTTTCTCAAATTTTTATGAATATTCAAAATAAAACCACGCCAAAAAGGCCGTTATTTTTCAGTAGGTTAGCTGAATAGCTTTCAGCTATAATACTATGATATATATCGCCAAAAAAAGTTTCATGAAAATCGGCTTAATTTTTTTTTAACAGTTAATTACAAGAAAACGGCTCAATAGATTTTCACTTAAAACTAATCAGTATCATTCATAACTAATATGTTTCGAACAGTTTTTGATTTTTGAAAATCGATTCGGTAGTATGTATGAGTTAAAATGTGGACGAAAAGTTTAACACTTTCTTTCAAATCACATAGAAATGACTTGGCCGATCGTCGCACTAAACTGATAAAAATGGGTTTTAAATTTCTGAAATCGGTTCAGGCGTTTTTGAGCAAACGTCGATAAAAGGTCTAATTTTGACAAATGCCAAAAAACGATACTAATTTTTGCAAACTGAAGAATTTTTAAAATTAAACGACTTGTCGTAGGGCCGTAATATTTTAGTATGATGCATAAGACAATGGTATCAACAGTCAAAAAAAATAAAAAAAATCGTCGAAATTTTTTTTAACACTTTATTACAAGAAAACGGCTCGTCCGATCTTTATCAAAAACTAATCAGCACGATTCCTAAACATTATCTTTTGAACAGTTTTTGAATTTTCAAAATCGATTCAGAAATGCGGGCTAAAACTTGGACAAAAAAATTTTCACTTTCAATTTTCTGCAATTCACAAAGAAACGGCTTGGCTGATTGTCGCGCAAAATTGAGAAACAATAGTCCTCAAAAAATTAGCGTATGGGATTTTTTAGTCAATTTTTTTGAAATCGATCACATGAATAATTAATGGCCCTTACGAAAATAATCATCAGCAAACAATAAATTGTTTATAATTTTTAAATTAGTTCAAATAAAATTTCTACCAGCTACTTGACTAACTAAAAGATGAATGATTAGTAATAACGGTTTATGGCAAAAGCACGAGGAGAGTGCTAATAAACATATTGCAAGGTTATATTATAAATAAATTTACCAACATTCTATATTTTATTAACGTAAGATAGTTTAAATTAACTTTAGCTTAATATCATAGAGCTTTTTCAAACAAAAATTCTCAAATCCTCTTTGGAGAGTTCGAATAATGTTAATAATTCGATTTTTTCAGATTTAGAGCAGATTCTAAAACGAATTGAAAAATTATGCAGATTTAAAGCAAATTCAAAAAAGAAAATTGCTTTCATTGAAATATTTAAGATAAATCAAACCGGATACAATTCTTATGTTTGAATGCTTTATATAATTATTACAATATAGTCATTAGGTAATAACTTCAATTATTCCACACGAAAGTTGGAACAAAATTGACCTGTTTTATATTGCAGTAAATGATTATTTGATAATAATAAATTATTATAATAATATAATCACATTTACAATATTTTTCTAGCCTAATATTGAAGAAAATTACTGCTAGAATAGTGAATAAGTCATTTCGGTTATTTTCTTGATCATAAACATAAAATTTCCAAAATAATATATCTAAGTCAGAAATAATAAATATAGTTAAATAAATCTAGTTACTTATCTATCTTATGTCTTAATAATATAATATTATTAAATTTTTAATTTTTGAGCATCTTCTATGAGTAGGATTATGAGGGTATTTATTATTATCTCTTGGCGATATAAGTATTTTATATTTTTCTAATATAAAATACTTATATATAATATATATAATATATATATATATATATATATATATATATTAGGGTGGTCCTTAATATGGATATTTTCTAATTTTTTTGCTTCCAGGCGCTCAAATGCTTCCAAAATGATACAAAAAATTCTCTGAAAGTTTTAGCTCTTAATATTAACTTTAATATAGTCCGCACTTTAACCAAAGTTTCTTGATTCTTTTTCTAATTAAATACTTAATTTATTAAAAATATCAAATTTTTGTTGCATATTTTTATTTATGATCAAAATAAGCAAATACAAGGTTATTCTCAAAGTTAATATCCACCTGTTGCTAAGTTGGAAAATTCTAAGAGACCAATAAAATTTTACCCATGTTAAAACTTTCAGAGAATATTTTTTATCATTTTGAAAGCATTTGATCCCCTGCAAGCAAAACAGATCTAGAAGATCCGTATTAAGAACTGCTCTTATATATATATATATATATATATATATATATATATATATATTCATGTAAATGTATTAATAATATTATTATTGACCTTTACCTGGTCGAGTGATCCTGGCCACATTGAATCTGTTCGTATAATCGACTTTGAAATAGCTTTCCACGATCGCTCGTTCGTATTTTCCTTCACCTCTGACTGGTGAAAATAGATATTCTGGATCTATCACATATTTGACTCTTTGGTAGCCCGTACAACAGAGCAGGGTCAGTAAAATAGGAACTACTATGAAATATCCAGGATGGTTGCCAACCAGGAGACCTAATTTGTAGAACGAGCGATTCAGCAGGCGGTCCACGAAGGTCACGCCGCAGGTCATCTGGGGAAGAGGAAAAAAAACAGTTAGATAGGAAAAAAAATCATAATGATCATATCCTGATAGGTATATTAGTTATCAGTCTCTCAGTAGAATTATTCTCAACTTGTATGTATAAATCCAAAATAAAATTTTGTTAGTTATAGTAAATTTATTAATAATATTATTTTTGAAGTAAAAACTTCTTTAGGCGCGACTAGGGTGTAAATCCGTACAAATGCAACGGAAGTCCGTTACGCCCAAACTGTTCGTCATTCGCTCTCGATTAGATCATTTCTATACGGGTCGATTGTAATTAGTCGTCGTGTGTGTGAATAGAGATCTGTCGTTGTATGCGTACCGATATCAACGAGAAAATCGGTATAGATAAATAAACATTTTAAAGTTACATCGTAGTACAAATCTTGATTTAATCAAAAATGCCTGAATCAAAAGAATATTTTACCCTGTTCCTTGAAATTAATAAAACAAATTAAACATTTGTGCTTTGTACTAAACGTAAGTTTATTGATTAGAAATTATTTCTGTATTATTCGTAGTTTCTATAAATCTTTGAAGTTATTAAAATGGAAAATATTTTTTAGGCAAGACAGATATTACAGCAGTTCAAAAAATGAGATTATATCGCCAGCAAAAATGTAAAAAAAATCAAGCAGTCAATGAATGTATGTTAATTTTAATTACATGAAGTTCTTCAAACACAATTACATGATGAGTGAAAACAATATTTGTTTAGGCGTTGTTTAACATAATCCACTGTGTGAACGAATATTATAAAAGTTATTAATCAGCAATTATTTCATTTCTCTAATGAAGGTTCATTTCTAAATGCTAATTACAATGACAAACCGATCATGTCATATTTAAAGTATGACTTTAATTACTTTAACGTTTTTAAATATTATACATATTTTTAATGCTATTATAAATATATAATTAATAATTTATCATTATATAAATGTTTTTTTTTTTATTTTATTTTCATTCTGCAATCTATAAAAATAATTATATTTAGCAGAGAATGCTGACAAGTGTTCACAATTGGTTGTTTACAAATTAGTACATACGCCCAGTGGTGTATCTACTATAGTCAATGTATAAAAAAGAAAAAACTAAAAACAAATATAGAGAAAAAAATATAAATATTAAAATAAACTATAATAAATCTCGAGGTATTTTCCTTTTGAGCCTGGTCGGCTGGCCTTCCTAGTATAAGTTGCATGCTAGTTGGTTTGGATGTGGGTCAATTCTATTCTTATGATTACAGGCAAACATTGATATATGTTCTTGAATTGTAGGTATACCCGTGTCTTTGTGGAGAATCCATGTTGGCGTGTAGTGAGGAGCGTTTAATATTTGCCGCAGGAATTTGTTTTGTGCTCGTTGTATTATGTTTAAATTGCTCTTTTTAGCAGTACCCCAAAGTTGTAATCCGTAGGTCCACACGGGTTTGATCACGGCCTTATATATAAGTAATTTGTTGTAAGTTGATAATTCTGATTTTCTGTTTAGGAGCCAATAATAATTTTTGAAGATTAGATCTATTTGTTGTTTTTTGTTCTTTATGTGTACTTTCCAGTTGAGTTTCCTATCTAAGTGAATGCCGAGATACTTTATTGATTCTTTGGACGGAATAATTTCATCGTTGAGTACAACTGCTGGGCAAGTTTGGGTGCGAAGCGTGAAAGTTATATGAACTGATTTTGTGCTATTTACTTTTATCCTCCACAACGAAAACCATTTCTCAGCTAAGCTGAGATGGTGCTGAAGGCTGTTGGAAGCTGCAGTCGGATAAATGTTGACACTAATAAATGTGTGCATCACGAGTGTTATCATATTACTAACAAACATTATTCAAAATTGTTATATGATGTATTTATTTTTACTTAAATGCCATCTTGTACAGTAGCTAATAAGTTTTACTTCAATCGTGTATGAACCTTACACGCTCTCTTTTTTTAATGTGATTTTATTAATTTTGCTCTGCAAATACTACATTTAGTACATAATTTGTAATAGGTAGTAAATATTCATTTCTGATCAAAAGAATACAAGTAAAACAATGAGTGTTTTGGAGTGATAATACTAAATACAAATGCTATAAAAATAAAAAATAAGTAATAAATTTTGAACCAAAAGATACCCATTCGCTATTGTCTTAAGTGAAAGTTTTGTCTTGTTATTGATAACTATATGAATTGTTCAAAACGCCTTCGTATATTTTGCTGAAACTGAAAGTCACAAAACTATAAATCACTAGGACAATAGTGTTATTGGACAGAAATCGGAAATAGAAAAAATTCAGGCTAATTTTAATTGAACTATAGTATTAAAATTCAATCCCTACTACAATTTCAAGATTCTAAAATTAACAAAAATACAAGACGCCAAGGTTTAATTATAAGTAGCATTTGTAGAGATTCTTTGATTTGATAGTAGGTACCAAAGAAACTAACAACTACTAATAAAATTTAGTAAATAATTTCTAGAGAATCCAAAAATGCTCATTTCAAATATTTCAAAAAAGTTGATATTTTGAGTTTCTAATAACACTTGCAAGCCGTTTAGTAATGTTTTTGCATATAAGTAAAACTACTCATTATAATAAATAATATTTATTTGAAATATCCTATTAAATTTAGTTGAACGTCATCTGTCATTCCAAGTATAAAATTATTTATTTGATATATTAGGATGGTGCATCCAAGAGAATAGTCGTATTGTACGACAAAAAACTTTATACAACAATTTCACAATTTGACCAAGTTAATTTTTATATTTGCAGCATTGTTTTAAAATATAAAATAGTTTCAATTAATGAACAAGTAAATACAAGAAAAAACAGATCCGTTTCTCAAGTATAAAGTGTGGTCTACAATTGTGGTCCAATTCTCACGAATACATCAAGAACTTAATGTAAATTAGTGTGAACGATCTAATTAAATAATGATATATTTTAGTAGATGAAAACCGGATTTCGAATTGTTTTTCTTTAGGTAAAGTCTTAACTTTTACTTTAAAAGCAATTTCTAGCTGAAGGTAACTCAAAATTACATCCAATTCGGATAAAACCAGTTCAAAATTCGATAAAACAAATCTAAAGATTGCATTATAACCTTTGATACAAATTAAAATTTTAACTTTTTCTATAAATCTCTATAAATGCTACTCATAATTCTTTTATCAATGTTTATTTAAATATGGAAAATTTACTATTACCTGAAATCTATTATTGTGTAATAAAATTGTCAAATTAATATGCCAATATAACTTCTATAAATTGAAAAGTGAAATTTCTGAGGTGTTGAATTCAATTTACAATACAACGTATTGCATTGTATTTATTTTATCGATTTGTATATAATGATGTATTGATGAAAAAGTTAACAAAAACTATTATGAAAGATAAATCAAGAGATATTTAGATGTACTTTTTAACTATTGCAAAATTTGTTACAAAAATGTATCCTTGTCCGACTTAAAATAAAATTCTAAAATGGTGTTTAGTGCATCACAACTTTTTTGTGGACGTTGATGATCTTTAGATGCCCTAAATGGAAGGTTTTTATATTTTATTATGAATCTAATTTTCGAACGTTTCTATAGATTTCAAAAACTCAAATTAAAGTACATTTCCAAGTAACAAGCATTAATATATTTATATTTTTGAATTGTTATCTTTTACATATGGGTTTTATATAGCTCGAAGCCACCAGAATTTGCGAAAACAGTTACGTGTTCCCAATTTCTTTGAAAGTGACGCATATTTCGAAAACGGATACAAATTAATAATTTTCTTTGTGACAAGTAATAAATACCAATTAGTCACCAGTAGATTTGAAGAAATTATTTCGAAAGGAAACATAGTTCGAAAGCAATTTTTTAAAATCAGTAACTAGAAACTAACATGAAATTTCTAAGAATGATAGAGTATGAAAAAAGTGAAGACGATAATACAAAATTTATCTTGTTTTTCTTTCCGATTATTCTAAAATCTAGTTAGTTTGACATTTTTTTAAGAAATTTTTAGCAATGCATATTTTAAGAAATCATCATCTTTTGGTAGTTCACTGCTTCGATGGTAAAAATGTTGCTCAACCAGAAAATATTGACCAGTAGAAGAAACAATGGATGACATTGAGTTTTTAACATAAAAGTAGAAAATCTGGAAAGCAAATTACATATTCAATCTGAAAAACCAACTATCTGGTAAAAGTTTAACACTATGCCGTCCGGCGACACCACAGTGGTGTCGAGCGCGAACTAGCGCTTAACAGCCGGCGACACCACAGTGGTGTCATGAGCACAGTATCTTCCTTTGGCCAGTGGCAGAAATCTTTCCATCCTGTTGGTGTTTTAATTTAGATAACAAAAAATTACACCCCTCAACATTAGTAAGAACTAAAAATTTGTAATTTTTCGATAATATTCAGAATGGGCGGGGACAAGCAAAGTGATAACGAATTAGCACTACCGGCGCCAAGCGAATAAATTTTTACAAAACGTGCGGACGGCAAAGTGTTAATATATCAAATTAAGGCATTCATAATCACTTGAACCATTTTTAACTCTTATGGAGTTGCTAAACATTGAATTACTTCCTAAACACAATATCTCTCCGAAATATAAAGTATTATTGCTGAAAAAGAATTTGTTTTGGAAATTCGACTGCCAAAAATTTGCAGATGTTCCATATGCATTAGGTGCAAATATTAGAAAAAAATTAACTATCTATCATACACCTTGTCATTCTTGGTGATACTACCTTGATCAAAATTTGAACAATAATGTAAATTATAATGAATAGACAAAGATTTATGTTTACCAACATTGATATTTATGGAATACCGGTTCACAGAGACTCACATAACTCGCAAAAACTAAAATATTAATAAATACTTGAGATATGAGTTGACAGGTTAATCTTGAAACTAGACGAAGGCTATCCGCCTCGATTTATTCAACGTTCTTCAGAAGGTCTTTAAAACTCATACGGGATCATC